GAACAACAACGTCCGACACGCCAACACGGAAGACACAACCCCCTCCACCGTTACAACGAGTTAGTGCTGCTAGAAGAAGGTTTTTGTTATCGCTCCAGTCTTCCAGACACGCTTGCTTGTTGTTGCCGCTCCGCCCGAAGGTGAACAATGCGGTCTCTCCTCTAACGAACACTGCGCCGTGTTGCTGCCCCCCCCCCAAAAAAAGAGATGAAAAACGCCGCCCCCCACGGCGGTGAGCAAAATTTTTGCAGCAAAGCGTTCGCCAACATCAGCAACAACGTCTATTACAAACATACACCTTGTTAAATATACTATTATTGTGCACAGCACCAAAGAACGAAAACAAACGCTACAATATATATACCAAATAGTTGTCCCACAACACTTGCCCACAGCACACGTACCGAACCAAAAAAAAAACAGTTAACTACATAACTGTCGTTGTGGTCCACACGCGAACATATGCTTATCTCCCTGAGACTAATGTATACATAGTCGCAGCAGATGATAGACCGGCGGTCCGCCTGTACTGTAACTCCTAACCTTTGCACTGCCAGGGCGCGGGAAGCCATGGTGTCCTACGGTATCCCCGCGGGTGCGCTGTTGTCGCTAAAACCAACCGGTGGCGCAAGCTATAGTAGGTGACAGACACCATGCCCCTAGCGTAACCTGAGTTGCCAGCCAAGGTTTGTCGGAGTCTAGTTGCGCCTGGCTCAATCTATATCTCACGCGTTCTGCAAGGATGAACAACAAAAAAACTGCATTGCAGTTGTATGTGACGCAAACAAGCACGCCCAACGGCGCAGTAAACCGCGCTCTCCTTGTCTTGCCTGGGTACAACGTGAGGGACGGAGAGATGGCACCCCTTCTACACCGACTTTCAAAGCCCGATTACTCCACGACCAAGATTGTCTGTACCGTACCGTATACCGTACCGTGGTATTCCGTAAGGGGCGGAGAGATGGCACCCCCATCCATGTAGACCGACTTTCAAAGCTCGATTGCTCCACAACCAAAGTGGGTGCGGAAAAGAGCCCGATATATACGTCTACGAAAAGCCCTCGACAAGATGTTTCCAAAATCACCAATTTTGGTGTTGGTTTAATCAATCGTGGTTGTGGAGCAATCGAGCTTTGAAGGTCGGTCTAGGGGGGTGCCACCTCTCCGCCTCTTACGGAATACCACGGTACGGTATACGGTACGGTACAGGCAATAGTTGTTGTCGAGCAATCGAGCTTTGAAGGTCGGTCTAGGGGGGTGTCATCTCTCCGCCTCTTGCGGTACTTGTGCACGAGATACGAACCCATCTAATACCAACCGAGAGACTGTCAGCTGACCACACGACACGCGCCGGCAGCGCCGAACGGTGCACCACACGAAATCAAACTTTCAATTCTTGACAAGAAACTGACTCAAGACGGAAGTGAGTCCGGTCAACATCAATCAAGAGGGCTTAGCAGTCCCTCCCCTATTTTGCACTCATGAGAGCCCTCGAACGTACCACGCACGAAAATTCGAAAGAGAACACACCTCGGCCGGGCTTATATTTGGCTCGTGCACCTCCCGCCACAAGCAGGCACGAAGGAACCAAAAACAAAAAAACAAGGGCCAGAGACCGTGTGTCACATGTTTATTGTCATCGATCCACCCCAACACAACCCAGTTCTCCTGCAGCAGCACCAGCACCAGCAGCACCAGCAGCACCAGCAGAAAACACCACCACCAGGGGAACCCATGGCCACAAACGACCTATGATAACACACAACCCAGGGACCAAGGTAGCAAATACTGCCACACGAGAGACAGAGGCGGCACAATGACACAGCTTGCCATCTGCAGGGCCTCTTACCGCCCCCGGGCCACAACAAATCACTAATTGCGTAGTAGCTGTTGTGACACGCGCGTACAAGGATCAACTCATCGCAGACCAAATTACTCGCGTAGTAGTAGCTGTTGTGACACGCGCACACAACAATCGACCAATTCTCGCAGCTGTTCCCTGCACCGACACAACCAACCAACACCACCACCAACACCACCGCTACCCAGGGTCACAACACATCCCCTCCACGTAGACGCTGCACCCACAACGAGGAAGAAGGAAGAAGGCGAAAAGCGCACACACGCTGGGCAGACCCTAACACTAACCCCAACCCTAACCGGATGCTTGCTTTCTCCCCCCGAGAGACAAGGGAAGGTGCCCCGTTAGCCTTGACAAATAAATCGTTCTTGAAGCCCCCCGCATCGGAAGGGACGATTTGGCCATCATCGGTGATCAGTGCTGTGGGAACACTGCTCCGTCCACTCTGGCGAGGACGCGTGGTCAGCGGTCTAACCGCTACGGTGTGCAAAACATAAGAGTACTCCTCCACCAATCTCTCTATTTTCGTTTGGTTGTCGCGGCCGAAAAACAAACACATGTAAGCTGTTGTCCGGGCTGCGGGTCCCACAAGCGTGACTTTGACTGACCTGCA